ACAGATATTTTTAAGCTTATTTTTTGGCGGTAAATTATTTATAGACTATATTGTATTTTATATTCATAGATTTAGCTGATTTGTAAGCTTAAAATTAAGCTACAAGAAAGTTAATCTTCTTCAAAATAAATCCTTTTCTTATTATTTCTCCCCCCTTAAATTATTAATTTTCAATAATTTTCCATTACAACTTTCTATATTATATAAATGTATTTTTTATTGACTCTTAACTTGGCCTGTTGGCCATTCAGCTCTTCCTGGCCTGGGTTTTTTCCCCGAGTTTTGGCGCAACGCCGCCGCATTGAAGTAATCACATAAATCACGCAACGCTGCGAGGCTGTAAAAGCGTCGCCAGCTCCCATTATGACTCGCAGATAAAACTCGGGATAAAACCCCGGCAGATGCATAGAAATAAAAATAAAAAGCCACTGGCAGCGACTGCTTTATTAAGCATAATGCGGCCATAAAGCCATTCGAGCCAATCGAGCCAGAGAGCCCAGAATCCGGAGTCCGGAGTCCGGAGTCCACAGATTCTGGCGGAGTGCGAGTGGTTTAGGGATGAGCAATCGCACTCGCAGCTAAAGGATTACGCCAAGGTATGGACAGCTCCTAATGATTGATGGGCCATTGCGGCCAATTCTTGGCGCTGCACTGCCTTTGTTTCGCCTCTATTGCATCCTGCATCCAGCCTGTGGCGCCTCTCAATAAGGCCATGGAAGCCGTAGAAACCGTAAATCATGCTCCGTCCGTTGCGTGCCAAGTCATAAATACCTCCGGTCCCTTTGAACCGCTGGAGTTTACGCTACAAACTCAGCTCCTAAAGCGGCCTGCAGCTTTTTAATTAAGGCGCAGAGCGGTGGAAAAAAAAGTATAAAAAAATAGGTAAAATAAAAAGCCAGCGAATGTAACAAGTTATCCATAAACCAAGGCAGCGATTAGTTGCCCTAAAAACTTTCAGGAACTCTGATTATTTCCAAGGAAAATGCATGAAAAACTCAGAGAAAATTAAGGGTAAAGGAAGGCTTTTAATTGGTTATAAATTGGGGAATTATGGTGCAACTTACAAAAAATGTATTTGAAACAATTACAATAATATCCTTTTTGTTTAGAAGGTTTTTTCTTTAAGAAGAATTTACCTTTAAGCATTTACTAAATATTTCCCTGTAATATTTTTCATTTACAAATAATCCAATGATTTGGCTAAACTCCTCGTGTGAGCTTAGCTACCCCTTTTGGATCAAAAGTCACATACACAGCAGAAGCTGGCGGAGATTGGCCCAAGAGGACGAGAGAGAGAGCAGAGCTCTACAGCGGCGGAAAGACAAATGGCCAAGGCGCGAAATGTTTGACAAGAGCGCTGTTCTGCAGGACGCTGTCATCCATCAAAGGAACCCCGCGCGGGGTAAATTGAAATGGCTGCCAGTGCAATTATCGCCTCAGCATCGCCCGATGCGCCAGATCTCTCTCCGCTTTCTCTCGCTGTGTCCTCCAAAGGCCATTTCCCGCTAGATTAGGCCCACTGACAATACATAACCGAATTAGCGCCACGGGGTCGCATTTTTATATGACAATTTTTGGGGAGAGGGAATCCACAGGCCTAGCCTTTCTGGCCCTGCCAGTCATGCATCATTCTCATTCTCCTCACTTCGGCTGCAGCCTGTAATTTCGGCTAGGCGCCCAAGAACTCCATGGAACTCCATGTGGAACTCCACTCCGGCGGACTGCATCTTTTCGTCATGCAGCTAGATTTATGTGCCTCCGGCCGTTACTCCGTTACTCCGTTTCGCTCTGGCCATATTGTAAATCATTTCCAAATTATTTAGTCGCTCTCGGTTCATATATATATTCATATTTTTGGCGCCTTTGCTCGACGCCGTCGAATGTGGCACGTGATTGCGTTATAAATTACAAGCCATTGGATTCATATAGTGTCCGTGCCGGTGCCGCAGCCGATTCCCCTCCTGCTGATAGTTAATGGCGTCCCCTGGTATCCGAGCAGAATTTCGGAATCGAATTATATGTTATACGGGGAATCCCTTTGATTTGTGATTTGATTTGACCCACAATACAAACTATAATACTTGCAATATGAAATATCCTTTGGATTGGCATTTTGGGGCGGCTGACAGATGTCGCTTTCGCATGCCTGCCAGCGACCCATAGGTGGCGTTCCTAAGCTTTACAGTCATGTCTCGTAGTGGGAGAAATTTCAACAAACTATTTGAGAAGTTTTAAAAGGAACTACACATACTTTTAATATAAAATATATAATACTTTACAAAAACCCTTCTCATTTTTTTATAATTTTTTTATACTAAACATATAAACCCTTCAAACTTATATCAAAATGTAAAGTACACATTTCCTTACTCCCTTCCATCATTAAATCTACTTTCCTGCCAAAAAAAAAAAAGGTCCTTGGTAACGAAGTTGGACTGCAAATGCCAGTTGTGTGTTGCATGTAATTTAATATTCATTATATGCACTATAAACGCTGTGCCACTATGATTGCATGATCTGTCAATCTGCCCAATTGCCAGGACTATCTTCCAAGTTGCCTCCTTTCTCCACACACCCCTCCCCTCCAGGACAAACACCTTTTACTCGTTTGGAGCCTTTGGCTTTTTTCGGGGCGATAAAAACGAAGCGAAAAGTGCCGCTATCTATTAATATCGCTTTTGGCTTTTTCGCTGGCGGGTAGCTGTGTAGCTGGGTAACTGGGAAAAGCTGGGAATGAAAAACGCTGAAAAGTCCTAACGAACGACACCTGGCCGCGGAAAAGGACCAGAAGCAGGACCAGCACCCGTACCGGTGGCGTGTCTCTTCCTATTTTTTTTTTCTTTTATTTGCTGTTTGCATTGGGACTATCGCCCTCCCTTCCTTTTGGCGATACACTGCTGCTGATGTTGCACGAATGTTGTAAATCAAAAGTAGGCGAGTCACACGAAGGCTCTTCCTCCGCAGGACCTGCTCCTGCTGCTCCTACTGCTGCTGCTGCTGCTGCGCCTATTTGACTGGCAGGCCGAGCGGATAACGCTGGCAATTATCGCGCTTGTGCCGCACGAACAGCGGAAGCGGCAGAGGCGCCACATCATGTTACGCGGTCCGATTCTCCATCCCTCGCCGCCTCGGATCACACCATTTCCATTTCCATATCCATAGAGAAGCCGCATCCTTTCCTTTTGCCTCCCTATTCTTTTTTTCCCCCACTGTGCAATCCAATTGGTAAAACACAAAACAAAGCAAAAAACAACCGAAAAAAAGAGAGTAGAAAACAGTGAAATAACAACAAACAGTAACGGCTACAAGTCCCACCAAAAAAAAAACAAAAATAGATGAAGAAAGAATAAATATGGCAAAAAGATTCGTAGCTGTGCCCCCATGAAACCACCCCCTTCCGGTCAGTCAGTCAGTCATTGAAGTCATTTATTGCCACCAAAAGTTTTGCCCTGTTTGCGATACCCTTTCACGTTGGGGTTATTATCATTTTGGCTAGGAGATGGCAAGGCTACAACTGGGGAATAACTAATTGGAGGTGATCCTTGATAGATTGCGGAAGGAGAAATTATAGCAGAGTTTTTGGGGCTGGGAAAGGATTCTGATTAGAGAGGATATGGCCTAAACCCGAAACAACCTGCTTAATTTATATTATATTGCTTACGATATTAGCTTTATCTTACCTTAAAAAATATATCTTGATAGAACTAAACATCCTCAACTATAAAATAAATAAATCCCTGAACAATTACCAGCCTTATTTTCTATAAAAATTATTCTTTTAAGCTCCCCCTAAAAACGGTATTCCCCACTTCGATCTACTCAGCTAACCCTTCTTTTTTTTGTCTTGTACTTTTTGCTCTCGTCCAAACTGTACTTGTTCCTAGAGCTGGAGCGGATCTGGACGACTCCTTGGGCCCCGGGCTCGGGTCCGTTCCGTTTCACGCCGTTCCGTTCCGTGTGCAGGATGTGTTTACAATTTGTGGACACGCCGACCGTCATTTGATTGCTCCCCTCGCCCGCCTGTCGATTCCTTTTGGTTAATTCGCCAGGTGGCTTCAGACTGCGCATTGTTAGGGCCAAAAGGGGGGAGAGGACACAGCACTCGGCTGTTTGCTCAGGAGCCGCACGGAAGATGACGTGCCCGGGATGGCCCATAAATGAGACCGACTAGAGCAAACAGGCCGGACTACATACACACACACAGGATACACACAATCAAATAAGGCAAGGCGAAACCGGAAAGGGGCCGAACGGCTCTATATCTACCCTAATCTGGCCAAACATACCGCTCATCGTCCATATCACTGGTAATTTTCAACGATTTTGTGCATCATTCAGGGGATTTCTGCGGGGCTAAGGTTTTAAGGAAGGTTTCAGCACAGATATGGGATCTTCTTGAGTTGTTTTGGAAAGAAGGGGAATAAATTTTAATGAAAGAACTAATTTTTTTTTTTTATTTACTTTAATTCAGTAGTTGAGAGAACCCAAAACTTATTCCATTATTTTTTTAAGTGTTAGTTTGAATGCTTAAGAAAAAGGTAAATTTATCAAGCGGGAGTTTGAATCTGAGGTACGAATTTTAAATCAATTAAAACTAAGCCAAAAATGAATTAATTTTAGTTAAATCTTTATTTTAATCGATATTTTCACATGACAATTTTTTGGCTAATTCAATTGTCAAAAATCATAACTAAGCTAAAAATTCATTAATTTCAATTCGCAAAGCTCTTTTGAGCTATTTTTTCAAGGTGAAATGGTCAGCATATTTAATTTACAATTTCAAAATATTCGAAATTTTATGAATTTTTGACAATTTTAATAATGTCCTTATAAAATTTTGAAAAAAAAAATGGTAAAATTGTTTTCTACCGCACATAGCTAGTTCGACTCGGCTTATGATGCTGCTCAAGAATATATATGATTTATAGGGTCGGAAATAACTCCTTCTAAAAATCGAATACCCTTTAAAGATACACAAATTGTAACTAAAAACTGACAGTTACAAAACATCAAATAAATTCATTCGAAATTATCTTGATAATATAAATATAAATTCCCTCATAAAATTGTTATTTTAAATCTCTTACATACTAACAACATGGAACCCCTTGATCTTGTGCGTATTATATCCATTTTCTTATTTTATTTCGTCTGCTACTTTATTTGGTTTTACCGCCAAAAGAAGAACGGCGTTGTGGATACACCTCAATGGCCTAGAACTCTGCTGGCTGACAAGAGCTAGCGGCTGTGACACTCCATCAGCTGTTCTTTATTTTCCACGCGACTTTATTGTTTATAGTTTTTTCGAAATGGAAAACTGTGTAAGCTGCACGGAAAAGCCAAGAAAATACAAGTGTAGCAAGTGCTCGGCGCCTTAGTAAGTTTTCCAAGGCTCTAGTGAAGCCGCAATTAATGGATATTTTCGCAATTCCAGCTGTTCTGTGGCCTGTTACAAGGTGCACAGGGATTCGCCCGAGTGTGTGATAGGAGATGTGTCCAAGAATACACCGGTAAATGCTGTTGCTGAGGAGCCCACCTTGTATGGACCGTTCACCACCGATGACACTGTTCCTGCAGATAAGCTGCAGCAATTAGGTGGGTTGGTTTTAACATTTAAATTACTTTTTCTTTATATATTAATCTCCCACAGAAACCTCCGAGAATCTATGCAATTTGCTTCATAATCCTCACCTGCGTTCACTACTCCATCAAATCGATGTGGCCCTCAATGCCCAGGCAGCCATGAGAGCAGCCATGCAGGAGCCTTTGTTTGTGGAGTTTGCTAATGCCTGTCTTCAGGTGGTGGAGCCCATGACGGATGAGGAACGCTCCGAAATGAAGCTGTACTCGTGAGGCTTTTCCCAGTAATCCCAGCTTATTGTTAATAAATTCTGCTGTATTTTATAATTATTTATATTTATTTTATAATCAGATAAGGAAGATTAGATTCGAGAAATTTTAGCTTATTTTTGTCTGCCTTATGGTATTTTCCTTATAAATGAAATATTTCATAATTCTTTTTCTTTCATTCAAAAATAATAGCTACTGGAACACCGCTATAAGTAATGTTCAAAGTGCCGTCGTGCAGCTTGAAGAAACTATGTTCACCCTCCACGTTCCATTGCATTGGCAATTTCTACAAGAAAATAATGTTAAAATCATAAAGAATTCTTTGTAAATTCTTTGTCCTACCTTATCTTTATATTCCAAGTACATATTTTGATGTAAATGCAAATGGAGAGCTCTATCACGATGCTTGACAATCTCCCGCACTGAAAACGTATAGTCCTGAAATCCAAATAGGCAACCATCAAGTCCCAGGATCTCGAGTGTATTTGAGTTTGTCAGCAGTTTATCAAAGTCTTCTTGTAAATTAAAGACGCAGTATCTTAAGTAAATTTGTTTGATGTTTTCAAAATAAACTCTACTGTTGGGCATTTCGTTAAGTGGAATAATCGCATTGGTCACTTGCAAGGTCTGAATCTGAAGTGGTAGCTCATGGAACAAGTAAAAGATGTCAGCCCCGCTTGCGTTCACCTCAACAGACTTGACATTTTTTTGATGGCATGAATCCAGGACCATTCTGACAACGTACCAGTGAATAAAACCACAGAGAAGCAGTTTCTTCAGTTTGTTCAGATGCTTCATGTGCTCCAGGAAACATCCGGTCATTTCTCCAGTGTTGCACTCCAAGACTTCCAGATTTTGCATTCCTTTCAATGGCAATTTGGTATCTTTGAAATGCCTTTCGCCGAACTTTTCCAATTTCAAAGACTTTAGCTGGAGCGTCTCCAGGATATGATGTAGGTTTTCCACCTTGAATTTGCTGCAGTAGGTGAGCGTTAGGTTCTCCAAGCGTGGAAAATCTTGCATGTGTTGGCCAGTGAAGTTTCCATAGGGACTGAAAGTTCTTAAATTTGGAAAAGCCCTAATGATTCGCGGTATATCAGAATCCTTCAGCCGAAACGAGGTCGTTGAGAAACGAAAATCGTGGACATTTGGGAAAATATATCCCGTAAGAATATTGAAATTGATTCGCGTTATCGTCTTAAGCCACAACGCTTGGAAGTTATCTTGATTGCTGCCCAGAAAGAGACGTAGATCCTTGCCACTGATATCCAATTCGAGGAGGGAGAGAGTCATAGACTTGCACTGCAACCGCCAGACTTGGGGCATCAGCATCAAGAAGCGGATGTGCACGTGCGTCATCTTCAGCTGAGAGATCAGGTCCAGCTGTCCCAGAATAAGGATAAGAACATCGTCTGGCAGGCGCACAAAATCAGATTGGGCATCCTGGAAGCAAGTACAAAGAGAAGACTCCATAATATATATATTATAAAGACACAAAATAATTATAACGAGAGTTTTGAGATTCAATGGATTTGATCCTTTTACAAAATATGGATTGTCTAGTCTATATTTAAAATATTTATCTTTGTTACTAAGTTATTTAGTCAAAATAAATTGAAAATGCTTTAAAGTTGCAAGAAATATTTGGTTTCTCCATGCTTAGCTTGAATAATTCATGCTCGCCCTCAGATATCCAGACCATCTTCGATTTCTGTGAAGAATTTATTATTATTATATTATTTATTATTAAATATACAAAAAATAATCATATAAACTTGCCGGATGAGTTCTATAAGTGATCATGTCTGGATCCAAGTGCAGATTAAGCCTTTTGCTGCGCCCCTGGGCATTATCTTTGGCCACAAATGTGTACTTATTAAAGTGAAAAGTGCATTCAGCAATAGCCACGATTTCAGTTGACTTTAAACTCATAAGGAATCTAAAGTTTGCGTTTGTCAAAAAGTTACACTGTAAGAGGTAAATTTCTTTCACATTTTTGAAGCAAAGAACTTCATCGTTCATAGATATTATTACATTGCATACTTTGAGTGCTTCAAACTGGATGTAATTGGAAAGTAATAAAGTCGACAGAGCATGTTGGCTATTAACCTCTAGCGACTTGAACTGGCTTCGATTAGCAGCTACCACAACTTTCTGAAGGAAGCTGTTGTCAAATTGGTCAAGAAGGCTTAGTTGCTTCAGTTGGGTAAAGTTCTTTAGCTTCTCCAAAAACCATCCGTTCATTTCCGAGGCGTTGCATTGCAGCACCTCAAGGCTCTGCGTTCCATCCAAGGGAAGATCTGTATCCCGAATTTGACTTCTTTCAAATACTCCCAGCTTCAAAGTCTTCAGCCTGCAGATCCTCAGGATCCGTATCAAATAGCTGACCTCGAAGGACGTGCAGTGGGTGAGTATCAGGTTCTCCAGGCGATGAAATCCCTCAAAATATTTGCCAGAAAAGCGTCCATGGGGAGCGAATGTCCTCAGATTAGGGAATGACCTTATAATGCTTGGCATATCCGTGTCGTCTAAGTGAAGCGGATGCGAGGAGATTTGAAAATCGTGTACTTTGGGGAACACAAAACTTGTGAGGATCTTAAAAATCGGCCGAAATAGCAAATCCATCTGGAGCACATTAAGGGTGCTCTGAAGGCTTCCCATGAAATATCGAAAATCCTTTTCGGAATTGAAAACATCATCAATCATTGACAAGCAACTGGATCTGTACTTTGATCGCCAGATATTGGGCATTATCGTCAAGAACCGAATGTGCATCTGTGTCAACATCAACTGCGTTCTCCTGTCCAGATAACCCAGAATTAGGATGAGGGCATCGTCTGGTAGGCATAATAGAGCCGACTTATCTTCCTAATAAGTTGACGAAACAAAAACAAAAAGCGTATAAAAAGAACATCAAAATTGCCTTTGTTGTTGTTGTTTAAAATTAATTTTTGACCCTCAATTCGTATCGTTTCCCACCTTACTTTCTAAACTTTCCCATTTTTATCAGCCAATTGTTAGAAAATTTTCACAAAACGTTCACGAAAGACTGTTTAATATGTATAAATATATTTTATTTCCATTGAAATTTTTTAAAAGAATTATTTATTTATTCACTGCCAAAGCCTTAGCCAAAAAAGATCGACACTCCCTCGGGGGGTTTACTGATTTCTAGTTTCTTCTTGTGAAGCTGGAATAACTCATGCTCGCCCTCCGTCTTCCAAACCACTTCAGTTCGCTGCGGAAACAGAGTCTTAGTATTTGAGATTATAGAACAAGATGATTATGACTTACTAATTCCGTAAATCTAGATGCTCCCGTCGCAGAATCCAAATATAGATGCAACGTTTTGCTGCGTCCCTTGGCAATATCATTGACCACAAATGTGTAGTCCTTGAAGCTAAAATAGCATTCATCAAGGGTCAAAATTTCAGGTGACTTTAATCTCAAGAGGATTTGAAAAGCTGAATTTCCTATGAAGAAACAGTTTATAAAATGAATTTGACGAACTTTTTCCAAGTACGGTAGAAATCCAATTAAAATAACTATACTGCCTTTCACTTTAAGCGTTTCAAATTGTATGTTGAGATCGAGAACGCTATAAAATTCGTGTGGAGATATACTTCGAGTATTAATCTCCAGAGATTTGACCCTGCTGCGATTAGCAGATAGCAAAACACTCTTCAGGAGGTCGCTGTCAACATGGCCACAAAAAGTTATTTGCTGTAAGTGTGTCAAGTGCTTAAGCCTCTCCAGGAACCATTTCCTCATTTCCCAGTTATTGCATTGCAGCACCTCAAGGCTCTTTGTTCCATCCAAGGGAAGATCTATATCTTGAATTTTATTCCTTTCAAACACTCCCAGTTTCAAAGTCTTAAGCCTGCGGATCTCCAATATCCGAATCAAATAGCTGACCTCGAAGGTCCTGCAATGGGTGAGTGTCAAGTGCTCTAGGTGATGAAATCTCTCAAAGTATTTGCCGGTGAAACATCCTTGGGGACTAAATGTTCTCAGATTTGGAAAGGCCTTAATCATTTTTGACATATCCGCGTCACAGAAATTACCCAAATTCGTTATAAATGAGAAGTCATGTAGTTTCGGGAACACAAAGTTCACCAGTATTTCAAATTGTTCCTTCATTTCTATCTGCATCCAAAGCAAGTTAAGAGTGTTCTGAAGGCTTCCAATAAAAAATCGGAAATCTTTTTCGATCATGTAGGAACCGTCTGTAGGGGTTATGTTAACGGATCTATACCGTGATCGCCAGATATTGGGCATTATGGTCAAGAACCGGATGTGCATCTCGGTCAACATCAACTGCGTTTTCCTGTCCAGATAACCCAGAATTTGGATGAGGGCATCGTCTGGTAGGCATAATAGAGCCGATTTATCGTCCTAAATATTTGACAAGACAAACAAGATAGAGTTGGTCGGAGCTCAGTTTTATAATATAAATTAATATTTAATTTAAGACTAAATATAACAACGGTAATTCTTATTCAACATCTAAGAAAAAATTTAAAAAAAAATATGTCAAGCCAGTCAAGAGTCGTATATAATTTTGAATTGCCTTTGAGATTTAAATTAGTTAATAATCATAAACTTTAAAAAATAACGATTAAAAACACTGCCAACATCGGTGTTTCCCTACCCCTAATTTTTTTGGTATTTTTGAATAGTCTACCTCCGGTCACACTGGCAGCCAACAAAACAAACTGCAAACTAAAATAATAGAAAAACACTTTCCTCCCCTCGAGTTTTAGACTTTTTTGGCTACACCCATCGGAAACCGTATGTCCTGGCTAAGCGGCAGCTTAATTAAACCACTAATCTTCCTATTCTTCAGTTATTTAAGCTGCAATGCAGAAGTACGACAAGATGGAGAAGATAGGCGAGGGCACCTACGGCACGGTGTTCAAGGGCCGTAACCGGGACACCATGGAGATTGTAGCTCTGAAGCGGGTGCGCCTTGACGAGGATGACGAGGGAGTACCTAGCTCCGCGCTTCGGGAGATCTGCTTGCTGAAGGTGAGCCGCTAGAGAAGATAATTCCCACAGAACCCGTAGAAACTCACGCATTTTCCTTTCGCAGGAGCTAAAGCACAAGAATATCGTGCGCCTGATAGACGTCCTGCACTCGGACAAGAAGCTAACCCTGGTCTTTGAGCACTGCGACCAGGATCTAAAGAAGTACTTTGACAGTCTGAACGGGGAGATTGACATGGCCGTCTGCCGGAGCTTCATGCTCCAGCTGCTCCGCGGATTGTCCTTTTGCCACAGGTTAGGATACAAATTCAAACTAATTGATAGCTAACAAATCGAATACCTTCTCTTAGCCACAATGTCCTCCATCGCGACCTGAAGCCACAGAACCTGCTGATCAACAAGAACGGAGAACTAAAGCTAGCTGACTTTGGTTTGGCCCGTGCCTTTGGCATTCCCGTCAAGTGCTATTCCGCAGAGGTGGTGACTCTGTGGTACCGACCACCCGATGTCCTGTTCGGGGCCAAGCTATACACCACCAGCATCGATATGTGGTCGGCTGGATGCATTCTGGCTGAGCTGGCGGACGCCGGACGACCGCTGTTTCCCGGCTCCGATGTCCTTGACCAACTGATGAAGATATTCCGAGTGCTGGGCACGCCCAACGAGGACTCCTGGCCCGGTGTCTCGCACCTCTCCGACTACGTAGCGCTTCCATGTGAGTTTAACCATGAATGTTTTTCGTTTAAGTAATAATCTTGGCTTGTTTTTTCTTATTAGCCTTCCCGGCCATCACGTCGTGGAGCCAGTTGGTGCCTAGGCTAAACTCCAAGGGGCGTGACCTGCTCCAAAAGCTGCTCGTCTGCCGGCCAAATCAAAGAATCAGTGCCGAGGCAGCCATGCAGCATCCATTTTTCACGGAAAGCGCCTCTTCGGGTCACTGAGATGGAATTTTGGATGGGGTTCCGCCTATCCCCGAGCGACTGTTTTCATGTACTTTGATTAGAATTAAGGAGAATTCCCAAGAACTAAGTTTGCTAAGTCTAATGTCCCCGTGTCTCTGTCTTATGTCCATGCAGTAGATTGGGTAATAATTTCTACATTATTGTCATTTGTTTTCAATTAAATTTTAAAAGTGATTCAAGTCTAGGTGCCACACATTAGTTAAACTTGGAAAAAAGAAGAAAACATAAGGAAAATCAACCTTTTTTGCTAAAAGTATCGTAGAACTAGAGTTCTGGGATGCACTGAAAGCCTTTGTTTAAGATCTTGGAAGGTTATGAGGCATTCAACAATGCCAAATTCACTTAAAAGTTTCATTTAAAACAGAAAAAAAAAACTATTTTAAAAGTATTGTTTTAAGCCCTTTTGTTGATTTTTAATTATTGTTATATTTTTGTATTGTTCAATATTATTTTGCAAATTTATTTCTAATTAAATATATTTAAAGTAAAGCCTGGTTTTCTACTCTGACTCATAACGAGATAAGAAATTCACTCATTTAATTTCTTGGAATTGCTTTTCATTATGAAATTAAGCCAATCTTTATAAACTTAGTTGTGTAACTTAAGACCTTAAACTCGGATTTTACCTAGACTTTGTGTACGTAATAAAATAAAAACCACACTTACCGTATTTTCTGGCTGAAGCATGATGATATTTTCGTGGAAGACACTTCGAACCAACGCCACCGCTTTGGGGTTAAAGTCGTACTGCGCACACACGCTCTTTCGATTAATGCGAGAGATTTTTTTTATTGTGTTTTCGAAATTTGTACGGACCGGTCGCAGTTTCTAGTGCGTGTGTCAAATTCTATATATATTTATACATATATATAAATATAGTCCGGATAAACGAGTGCAGTTGCACGACCTGTGGATCCGTTCGCTATTAGTGATTGCAAAAAGCAAAATAAGACAAGGCACAACAGGCTGTTATCAGCAAACAAAAGCGCTTGCAAGTACAACAGTTAGAAGGGAGCTCCGGGAAAAACGCATCGAAAATGACCTGGGGATTTGTGACCTGCGGCCCCAACGAAGCCTTGGTGGTCTCCGGTAAGGCAGCTCTTCTTTTTACTTGGTCAAAACACAGCACAATTGGGTTTAATTAAAGATCTAAATGAGTATAAATAAGTTCTTTTGCACCCCACCCCGAGTGACGTCACTGACTATCGATTTTTGTGTACAGTGTTGAAGGGGTGGGGGGAGAAGAAGAGGAAGACGCCGCCACAGCACTCCCAAGCCGTGCGCGCGCATCGAACGGCGTTGCGATGCCGTAATCGAAGCAATATTTTGTAAACAAACTGTTTTTTGTTTCAGGATGCTGCTATATGAAGCCGCTCTTGGTGCCCGGCGGCCGGGCCTTCGTTTGGCCTTCCATCCAGCAGGTGCAGCGGTGAGTAATACTTATTTCTAAGAAGGAATATCAGAGTATTAATTATCACAAATCCCTTGCAGAATTTCGCTCAACACCATGACCCTACAGGTGGAGAGTCCTTGTGTGTACACCAGCCAGGGTGTTCCCATTTCCGTGACCGGCATCGCCCAGGTCAAGGTCCAGGGCCAAAACGAGGACATGCTGCTGACCGCCTGTGAGCAGTTTCTGGGCAAGACCGAGGCGGAGATTAACCACATTGCCTTGGTTACGCTCGAGGGACACCAGCGTGCCATCATGGGTTCGATGACCGTTGAGGAGATCTATAAGGATCGCAAGAAGTTCAGCAAGCAGGTGTTCGAGGTGGCCTCCAGCGATCTGGCCAATATGGGTATCACGGTCGTCTCCTATACCATCAAGGATCTACGCGATGAGGAGGTAAGTGGTTGAATGGGTATTATTATTTCTGTAAAACTCTGCACAAACTAACCCATTCATCAGCAGTGATGGGAAGTGAATTTATTTATTTTTAAAGTGTAATTGGATTATTTTATATACTTTTTCTTGAAGTAAGAGTTATGAACTTTATTTTTAAAGCATGGATTGGTAAAATGCACATTTTGAGATTATAATAATAATGTATAAATTGAAGATACTATTATTAAGGTTTATTTTTAAAAATTTGATATTTTAACTTCTTTCTTTTTAAATTTCCCATCACTGTTCTCTTTTTTTTGGCTTTGAGCCATTTGTTCTCGAGTAACCTCTTGTGTATGTATATATGTACATGTATATATATTTCTTGCATGTCCACATGGATCTACTAAAAGGGCGACTCAAAGGTGCGTATGTCCGCTTAACCGCCTGTGTGTCCCATCTACTGTCATCCCTGCTATTAAAGGTATACTAACTAAACCCTCTGCATCTCCATTTCCAGGGCTATCTCAAGTCTCTGGGCATGGCTCGCACGGCGGAGGTGAAGCGGGATGCCCGAATTGGTGAGGCTGAGGCCCGTGCCGAGGCACACATCAAGGAGGCCATCGCTGAGGAGCAACGCATGGCCGCCAGGTTCCTCAACGACACTGACATTGCCAAGGCCCAGCGAGACTTTGAGCTGAAGAAGGCCGCCTACGACGTGGAGGTGCAGACCAAGAAGGCCGAGGCTGAGATGGCCTATGAGCTACAGGCCGCCAAGACCAAGCAGCGCATCAAGGAGGAACAGATGCAGGTCAAGGTGATTGAGCGTACCCAGGAGATTGCCGTTCAAGAGCAGGAGATCCAGCGTCGCGAGCGTGAGCTAGAGGCCACTATTCGTCGTCCCGCCGAGGCCGAGAAGTTCCGTCTGGAGAAGCTAGCGGAGGCCAACAAGCAGCGCGTGGTCATGGAGGCCGAGGCCGAAGCTGAATCGGTAAGAGTTTACTTAGTGGCATTAAAAAGGAACTTACTAAAGCTGTTTTTCGCTCTCTTTCCAGATCAAGATCCGTGGCGAGGCCGAGGCTTTTGCCATTTCAGCCAAGGCCAAGGCCGAGGCCGAGCAGATGGCCCAGAAGGCGGAGGCCTGGCGTGAGTACCGCGAGGCTGCCATGGTGGAGATGCTCCTGGACACCTTGCCCAAGGTGAGTTGGGGAAAACTACCCCTAAAGATATGATACTATCAAAATTTAATCCAATATTTCATCCCTTTTCCTAGGTGGCCGCCGAGGTGGCTGCTCCGCTGTCGCAGGCCAAGAAGATCACCATGGTGTCCAGTGGACAGGGCGAGATTGGCGCTGCCAAGCTGACCGGCGAGATCTTGCAGATCGTCAACAAAGTGCCAGAGCTGGTCAAGAACATAACCGGCGTGGATATTGCTCGGGTACGTTCCAATTCTGAATTTATCTAACTTCGAGGCTCGTCGAGAATAAAGCGAGGATAAATCCAAAGAGAAACGGACGCAAGAGGCGACACTAAAACCAAACAATACCAAAAAAAAACAAATGGCAATCAAAAGACTTGATAGACAGGAGGACGCGGATTTTGTTGGCTTCCTTTGTTTGATTTGAGCCTTGATTTTTGATATTGATTCCCTGATTTCGATTCACTTTACGTTTCCTTTTTTCTTCATTTCAGTCTGTGCATGCTGGCTAAAAAAAGAACCCAAAAACGATAAAGAAAATCCAAAACAAACACAATTATGTACTCTCCAAAACCAAATGATAAACAAAAAGCATAAAAACGCAATCTTGAACGATCGAATACTTCAAAACAATTGAAATCGAACGCATTTAACATTTGTTTGTATATTTAATGTCCTATATATATTTATGAATCTTTGTGCTAACCAAACAAATTTTGCAACATGTTTTACAAACACACACACACAAACAGAGAGAGAGAGGAGCAAAGATATTTTGTATTCAATGTATATGTATTTATATAAGCGTATTGCACAAAGCGTGGAATAAAGATTCTTCCTTGAATCAAAGGATGTGTTTTTTAAATTTGATTATCCCGCTAGTTTTTAGCACCGCCTATCGTTACGTGTCGATAACGACGTGTTGCCACAGCGTCTGGCAATCGATAAAAATATAGCGATACATCGTCAAAAATGGAATACCCCAACTGCAATAAATATCGCATTGTACTCCCACCTCTAGTCAATGATATCGTCTTTAGTCTATCGATTGTAATCCACCTCTAGCAGAAGCTGCCTCATCATTTTGCGATTTGATTAAAAGTACTGGATCCGATTTCGACGATTTGCAGCTCAACCGTATTGTCCCCGCAGCTCCGATTTCTGCATTAAGTTAAAAAGTTTAAGCTCAACTAGTTTACCATGGCAGATCCCAAGGGGTAAGTGTATTTGCGCCCCAAAAGGGCGCCGAAAGTGGCCCTCCAAACCGAATTTCAACCAGTCCCAGTACAATTTCGCGCAGTCATCTCGGCCTGAAAAAATACGCAAGGGCCACATCGCAACCGAGTCAGTGTTCCGCGCTGGCTTTTCCAACGATTTCCCGTGAAACTTTCGCATTTTCAGCGATTTTTCCGCCGCAGCATTGCAAGCCGTTGCGAAACTAGGGCAAACCTAAAACCCCGAAAAAAGAGACCCCGAAGAAAATCGCCATTTGCAGTCGGCTGATGTGGTTGTTCTTGTTGTTGCCGCTGTCGCTGCTGCTGCTGGTTAATGCCCTTGCAGTTGTTGTTGTTGGTGTTGTTGCTTGAAAAACTTAGGGTTTTTCTTTGTTGTCCCGAAAAATAGTGCGTCCTTTTTTCTATTTGCGGGGGTGTCCTTCTTTGAGGGGGGGAAAGGTGTATCGACGAGCATTTTTTGTAAATTTTTTCCAGTGCTTAGTACCGTTTTTTATAAAGAAAATGTAAGATAAGTGGAAAATGTGCTTGCTTTGAGCATAACTTGTATTTCTGTATAAAATTATATGTATATTTTTTTTTATATTTTAAATAAGATAAGGTTTTTGTCGATAGTAAAGCCCTCTCTTAATTGCATCACTTCTGGAATAATCTATAGGTATTACCACGATTTTAAAAGCCTTGATAATAAACCATTGTATTTTATTTACCAAAGTTATTTTAATTTAATTTATTAATTAATATTTTGAAAGAAATATGTTGCCTTTATTGATGAAATTACGTTCTTTAGGGTAAATAAATTCGAAAAAACTTGTTTTTAAGAAGTGGCGCCAAGTGAATAACAGGAAATATAAAATAAATAAACGGAATTATGGATTTTCTAGGTTTTCTTTCCGCTAAAATTTATTATCATTAGTGATTTTTGTTTAAAAACGGCGAACTTTCACCTCTTGAACTGCCCAGTTTGATAATAATGTTACATTTCAATCAAAAGAGTGCTAACAAATTGTGTTTACTTCCCAAAATGAATAACAAAACATATACAAACAAGTTAGGCTTTGAAAAATACATCTAAACTTCCTGTACACTTCAGTTCCATGTTAGCCTTGCTTTGCATAGTTTCCTTGGAAACTTTAAAAACTCTCTAGACCGAAACAAGAAATAGGGGAATCCCCAGAAGCAAACAGCAGCAGCAGCATGCCCGACAGCACTCCGGACGATCCGATGGATCAGGGCAGGGACACGCGGGATTTTATTCGCGGCTATCACAGCGAGCAAGAGGAGAAGATAAAGCCTCAATCTTCGGTTGAGAAGCGGTTCGGTCTAGGATCCCTATACCATTGGCCAAGTCTAACCCAATGCCTTGTCCTTCTACCCACAGTGATGATCTGGCAACGGCCATCCTGAAGCGCAAGGACCGTCCCAACCGTCTGATTGTGGAGGAGGCCCAGAACGATGACAACTCAGTGGTGTCGCTGTCGCAGGTAAGACTTTACACCCTGGCTAAGGCCACGTCATCGAATGGAGATGATGACACTGAAATGCTGGGCTCTCCCTTTGCAGGCGAAAATGGATGAGCTGCAGCTCTTCCGCGGCGACACTGTCATTCTGAAGGGTAAGCGGCGCAAGGAGACGGTCTGCATTGTGCTCTCGGACGACACCTGCCCCGACGAGAAGATCCGCATGAACCGTGTGGTGCGCAACAACCTGTGCGTCCATCTGTCCGATGTGGTGTCGGTGCAGTCCTGCCCGGACGTCAAGTATGGCAAGCGCGTGCGCATCCTGCCCATTGACGACACCACCGAGGGCGTGACAGGGAACCTATTTGAGATCTATCTGAAGCCGTATTTCCTGGAGGCCTACCGCCCCATTCACATGGGCGACAACTTCATCGTGCGTGCCGCCATGCGGCCCATTGAGTTCAAGGTGGTGCTAACCGATCCCGAGCCGTACTGCATCGTGGCCCCCGAGACGGTGATCTTCTGTGACGGAGATCCGATCAAGCGGGAAGAGGAGGAGGAGTCGCTTAATGCCGTGGGCTACGATGACATTGGTGGCTGCCGCAAGCAGCTGGCCCAAATCAAGGAGATGGTGGAGCTGCCGCTTCGCCATCCATCGCTGTTCAAGGCCATCGGTGTGAAGCCGCCGCGAGGCATTCTTATGTACGGTCCTCCCGGCACGGGTAAGACTCTGATTGCTCGCGCCGTGGCCAATGAGACCGGTGCATTCTTTTTCCTGATCAACGGACCCGAGATTATGTCCAAATTGGCTGGAGAGTCGGAGTCGAATCTGCGTAAGGCCTTCGAGGAGGCAGAGAAGAACTCGCCGGCCATCATCTTCATTGATGAGATCGACGCCATTGCCCCCAAGCGTGACAAGACTCACGGCGAGGTGGAGCGTCGCATTGTCTCCCAGCTGCTGACCCTGATGGACGGCATGAAGAAGAGCTCCCATCTGATTGTGATGGCGGCCACCAACAGGCCCAACTCTATCGATCCGGCGCTGCGTCGCTTCGGACGTTTCGATCGTGAGATCGATATTGGCATTCCTGATGCCACTGGCCGTCTGGAGGTGCTGCGCATCCACACCAAGAACATGAAGCTGCATGAGGATGTGGATCTTGAGCAGATCGCTGCCGAGACCCACGGACATGTGGGCGCTGATTTGGCTTCGCTGTGCTCGGAGGCTGCCCTTCAGCAAATCCGTGAGAAGATGGATCTCATCGATCTGGAGGATGACAAGATTGACGCCGAGGTGCTGGCCTCACTGGCTGTGACTATGGAGAACTTCCGCTATGCGATGACCAAGTCCAGTCCGTCCGCGCTGCGCGAGACGGTGGTGGAGGTGCCCAACACCACCTGGACGGACATCGGTGGCCTCGAGAGCGTGAAGAAGGAGCTGCAGGAACTGGTTCAGTACCCGGTGGAGCATCCGGACAAGTTCTTGAAGTTCGGCATGCAGCCCAGTCGCGGAGTCCTGTTCTACGGACCCCCCGGTTGCGGTAAGACGCTGCTGGCCAAGGCCATTGCCAACGAGTGCCAGGCCAACTTTATTTCGGTAAAGGGACCTGAGCTGCTGACCATGTGGTTCGGCGAGTCTGAGGCCAATGTGCGCGACATCTTCGACAAGGCCCGCTCGGCGGCTCCTTGTGTGCTCTTCTTCGACGAGCTGGACTCGATCGCCAAGGCCCGTGGTGGCAATGTAGGCGACGCTGGCGGCGCTGCCGATCGTGTGATCAACCAGATTCTGACCGAGATGGACGGCATGGGTGCCAAGAAGAACGTGTTCATCATTGGGGCCACCAATCGTCCGGATATCATCGATCCGGCCATTCTGCGTCCAGGCCGTTTGGATCAGTTGATCTACATCCCGCTGCCCGACGACAAGTCGCGTGAGGCCATCCTGAAGGCCAACTTGCGCAAGTCGCCGCTGGCCAAGGAGGTGGATCTCACCTACATTGCCAAGGTGACGCAGGGCTTCTCGGGTGCCGATCTTACCGAGATTTGCCAGCGGGCCTGCAAGCTGGCCATCCGACAGGCCATCGAGGCCGAGATCCGTCGCGAAAAGGAGCGCACCGAGAATCCCAACTCGGCGATGGACGTAAGTCATTAACCACTGAGTTCATTTGCGAAAGAATTATTTATTTGAATATATTTTTTACTTTCCAACAGATGGACGAGGACGATCCAGTGCCGGAGATCACGAGCGCCCATTTCGAGGAGGCGATGAAGTTTGCTCGCCGCTCGGTGTCGGACAACGACATCAGGAAATACGAGATGTTTGCCCAGACTTTGCAGCAGTCCCGCGGCTTCGGACAGAACTTCAGGTGAACACAGAAGGGAATGCTACCTCTAACCAAGACTTTTTAATGACCTGTTGCCTTGTCTTACAGATTCCCCGGTCAAACCGGCAACACCTCAGGGTCTGGCAACAACATGCCAGTTAACTCGCCAGGCGACAACGGCGACGATGATCTTTACAGTTAGATTTCTAGGTTTACACTGCAAAACAAAACCAACAAAACAAAAGAAAACAAACAACAAAAAAAAAGAAACTTTTTAAATGAATTTTTTCCTGTAAAACCGAACAAGCAAACAAATCACATTCGCATCCTGGCGGCGACTACCACTAAGTCCCTCCATTTGGCTAAGACATTCAGCCGACAGAGGAATTCGATTATATCCAATCTAAGAAATATAATAATCACTTTTTTGATAACATCCGTGGATTCACGGTTCGTTTGAGCGAAACTGATTGTAAAACATTTTAATTGGCGACCCAATCCGCGCCTCACACACACTTATCATTCGTGCATTGTCGGTAGAATGGCTCCGATATATGAGTTTCTATATACATAATTATAAACGATACACATACACACATACATTTAAAGATAAATACATATATTAAACACCGTAAAATTATAAGTGTATTTGGAGCTACGTTTTTAAGTGAATAAAAATTACAAATTCAATAAAAGGGGATTAATGTATTAGTGATGGAAAAGGAGTAGAAAAAGGAATGTAAGTATTTTCTATAAATTATTGATCATTTTTAGAGAATGTCCAAGTAAAACTTAAAGATTTACTTAATAAGTAAAAACTAAAATTCAAAATTTTCTTTTTTTTCAATTTTTAAAATTAAAATTTAGAAATAACTGGTGTTTTCAATTTTTTTAAGTAAAAATTTAAGAAAATATTTTTTATTTTAAGTAAAATTAATTATTTTAAAAATTAAAAATAACAGTTATTTTTTAACTTTTATATAAAAATTTAAAAAAATTATTCTTTAACTTCTTTATAAATGAATGATAAGAAATCAATTCAATTTAATAAGAAATTAAACTGTTATTTTATATTTTATTTGTAATTTTTATTGTAAGAATTACGATTTAAAGTATGGTGGAACAAGAAAGAAAGCTAACTTTGGCCAGTCAAAGTTTGTAAACCCTTGCAGGTAACAATTAAAATATATCATAACTAAGCCAAAAATGCATTAATTTCGATTCGGAAAGCAGTTTTGTGTTAGTTTTTATTAATTTAAAAAAACTGCATACCAAATTTAAAATTTTAAGAAATCAAAATTTTTGGCCCTTTTTGATAATTTTAATGATGACCCCTTCTCAAATTTCACAAAAATGGCCAAAAAATCGATTTCTTCCGGACATATCTAGAAAGATTACCCTGTTGATGCTGATCAAGAATATATATGGTTTATGGGGTCGGAAATGATTCCTTGACTTAGAAAAATATTATTTTGTATTATAAGATCTGATTTTTTTATTAAAAAACTTCTTGATTATTTTAAAATTAAAAATATCATAACTCGGCCAAAAGAGCATTAATTTTAAATCGGAAAAGTGTTCTGTGCAAGATTTTCTACAGTTAATAAATCTGCATACTTCATTTAAAAATTATGAAAAATTCGATTTTTTATCAAAATCAAAAATTTTAATGATGTAACATGTTTAAAAAATTGTTCAAAAATTTTCTGAATTTAAAATTTTTTTTTTTAGATTTTTTATATTTATTTAAGAATTTTTTTAGAATTAAACAAATTTTTTGCCAAATTTGAATTTGAATTTAATTGCCAAATTAGAATTTGATATTAACTGACAAATTTGAATTTGAATTTAACGACGATCAGTTTCAGTGTGCCCAGGTGCAGTTGTAAAATAACACCTAAATTTGGACTCAAAAGGCTTGAGTCTCCGCTATCTTGCGCCGGCTCCTAAATGGTTTGGAACTTGGACGTTTTATAACAGTTTATACCAGTTTTCAGCTGCTTGCTGCTGATTTCTGTTCGCCTGTTACCCCAATTTGGGAAACGGGCAATTTGCATGGAAATTTTTGGATATTTGGATGGGCTGTCGTAGGGATGTTGTTGTAAAAAGGTTGTTGTTGCCATAAGCTGTTGTTGTCGGCAACAAATAGGTATAAATGCATAAAATGAAATATAACAGTTTATACCAATTATTATTTTTGCCCAAATGTTTTTATAACAGTTTATACCAGTTTTCAGTTGCTTGCTGCTGGTTTCTGTTCGCCTGTTACCCCAGTTTGGAAAGCGGCCAATTTGAATAAAAAGTTTTGCTCACTTGCATCAGTGATGCTCATCTGCATCAGTGATGCTCATCTAGCTATATTGCAATATTGGGAGGCTATAAAATCGGGCTTAATGGCAGTGATGCTCATCTGGCTATATTGCAATATTGGGAGGCTATAAAAAAAGACTTTGCATCAGTGATGCTCATGTAGCTATTTTGCAATATTGGGAGGCAATATATCAGGCTAAATGGCAGTGATGCTCATCTAGCTATATTTCTTTATTGGGACAAAATAGATAGATGAGCATCACTGATGCAAAGTCAGTTTCAGTGTGCCCAGGTGCATTTAAGCAACATTTAAGCCAAAATATTTACAATATGGTCACATCTGGTTTGAGTCTTCGCTTTCAGTGTGCCCAGGTGCAGTTGTAAAATAGCACCTAAATTTGGATTCAAAAGGTTTGAGTCTCCGCTAACTTGCGCCGGCTCCTAAATGGTTTGAAACTTGGACTTTTTATAACAGTTTATACCAGTTTTCAGGTGCTTGCTGCTGATTTCTGTTCGCCTGTTACCCCAATTTGGGAAACGGGCAATTTGCTTGGAAATGTTCGGAAATTTGGATGGGCTGCTGTAGGGATGTTGTTGTAAAAAGGTTGTTGTGGCCATAAGCTGTTGTTGTCGGCAACAAATAGGTATAAATGTATAAAATGAAATATAACAGTTTATACCAATTATTATTTTTGCCCAAATGTTTTTATAACAGTTTATACCAGTTTTCAGTTGCTTCCTGCTGGTTTCTGTTCGCCTGTTACCCCAGTTTGGAAAGCGGCCAATTTGAATAAAAAGTTTTGCTCACTTGCATCAGTGATGCTCATCTGCATCAGTGATGCTCATCTAGCTATATTGCAATATTGGGAGGCTATAAAATCGGGCTTAATGGCAGTGATGCTCATCTGGCTATATTGCAATATTGGGAGGCTATAAAAATAGACTTTGCATCAGTGATGCTTATGTAGCTATTTTGCAATATTGGGAGGCAATATATCAGGCTTAATGGCAGTGATGCTCATCTAGCTATATTTCTTTATTGGGACAAAATAGATAGATGAGCATCACTGATGCAAAGTCAGTTTCAGTGTGCCCAGGTGCATTTAAGCAACATTTTAGCCAATAAATGTACTATATGGTCACATCTGGTTTGAGTCTTCGCTTACTCCAAGATCAATGGTTCGAAACTTGGACTTTTTATAACAGTTTATACCAGTTTTCAGTTGCTTGCTGTTGGTTTCTGTTCGCCTGTTACCCTAATTTGGGAAACGGGCAATTTGCATGAAAAGTTTTGCTCATCTGTATCAGTGATGCTCATCTGCATCAGTGATGCTCATCTGCATCAGTGATGCTCTATTGGAACAAAATGCATCTCTCTAAATGCCAGTGATGCTCATCTAACTATTTTGCATTATTGGGACAAAATGTAATATCACTATTTATATAGCTCTATATATCTGATTGAAAAATACCCATATATAACAACAATATAAAAACAAACTCTTTTTTTTTTTTGTTTTATCGCATTTATTAAACTTGTATTCATTCGTCATGTTTGCTTTTTCTTGTTATTTCTTTTCACTTTTATTTGCGACATAACAAGGACATCTTAATATGAAGTTAGTTGAATGCTTCTTCAATATTTTTAATAATCAATCGTCATCGCATGGGTCTTATAAATAAACTTGCCTTGCCGTTCTATTAGCTGCTGATTATTTAAATCAATATGTGTTTTGGCATCGGTAAATAAACATAGGAGGAAATAAGTAATAATAATAATAATTGTGTTAATGGCGAAAGCAGGAAACTGTCGGTTTTATTAGCATTTTCTTTTTTTGTTTTATTTATTCATGCAGCTTCTTCGGCGCTTAAGTTAAATAAAGTTTTTGTTACCTTTTTTTTTCAGTGTCTACACCTTTAATTTTTTTGTTTGTTTTATTTTTCAAATATTTCATTTTTTATTAATACATACGCTTTTTGTTTGTTTTTTTTTCTTTTCGTTTGTATTTTTTTTTTATTTTTTTGTTACACATACATAATTAAATACGCTTTATGCTTTATAATTACAACACAACAGTTAAAATACGAATAGGTTTTACTATTTTTTTGTTTCATTTAGTTTTATCCTTTCTCTGTGACGTTAATTTGAAATATATTTGCGCGTTTTCAGTGATTCTTTCAACGATTCAAATTTTTTTTTTGAGCTTTGCTTGATGAAAATTGGCGTGTGTGTTTGTGTAGGTGTCCTTTGTTGTGTTGATGTGTGTGTGTGCGTGTTATTGTTGTTGTAGTTGGTATGTGGAAGAAAATGGCCAGCACTTTCTGCACCTTAATTAATTGCTAGAACTTTACTCGTTTTGATATAGTATATGTTAGTTTATTATTATTTATGTTCTTCTTGAATCCACCTTCTTCATGATTTGTTTTTGTTTTCCTTTTCGAAAAATTTTTAAGAATTTGTTTGCTTTAAAGTCTTGAACATAGACTAGACACCAATTAAGATTAAAAACATACTTTCATATATACTTTAGTTTTATTATTCCGCCTTGCCTTGAACGACTTGTAGCAATTACACATATGATATTTTTCGGTTTCTATATTATATGTAGTTTCTTTTAGCTTTGAACACCTGTCGACTGTTGGTATGCCAGTTGAATTGTTTTAATTTTATAATATTATTTTATACCCTACACATGCAAGTTCATTGATTATCCTTCTAAGATTTGTTTAGTTACGCTTTGTTTTTCTTTTTTTTTTCCTTTTGTTTTCTGTTCAAAACATTGGGTAGTAAAGTAGTTGGAGTCGTTTAGGTATAGATTTAGGTTTATAGTTTAAGCTCATTCAGTTATATAAATAGAGATATATAGGTATATAGGGTAGTACACACAGGTATGTAGGTATATTGAACAGCAACGAAAACAGGAATATACTAAGTACACATTAACTAGGCCGTCGATATTGCTTTGATTCGTTCACCTAACAAGATTCGCTATGGCCCGAAAATAAAAAGATACATTCGTAATGCTAAAAGCGATCAAGATACAAGATCATCCTAAGCAAATGTCACCCCGGTGCACACAACTTTCTCTCTCGATTTGAACCTCAAGCTCGCTTCTCGCTCTAGCTACTCGCTGCTTACTCTCTGTCTTGCTACTCGCTATTCGCTTCTCGCTCTCCGCTGCTAAATTTCGTATTTTTTCGCTAGTTTTTCTCAAAGTTTTCTAAGTTGATCCCATGCAACATATTGATTGTGCCTTTAGCATTCATTCCCTGGTACTTTATAGTTTTTCCTATGCTTCCTAACACCGAGAACCGAATAACAAATGTAAGATATACTCGCTTCTGAGATCGCTTTCGAGTCGGGTCGGGTGGGGGTTCGGGATCGGCTAATCTGATATCTTTCACTCCTCTCCTCCGATGGCTAATGGCTGGAGCACGCACCTGTTCCTAGACTAGTACATATACATTGATTTGAATTAAATTTCAGGGACTTTCTCCTGCCCTTCTTGCTGATGTGTGTGTGTGCGAGTGTGTTTAGAGAGGGTGTGTGTGTGTGTGTTTGTGGTGTGTGTTCAATTTGCTCTTAGTTGATATATTTTGCTTAACTCGTTTGCTTATCGTTTAATTAGCAGCCAATGAAACAAGTGTGTTTGCGTTATTTTCTAAATTATGAATAAATCAATGGATAACAAAAAAAGGTTGTATATGAATAAACAAAGCTTAAATTAGTATTTTTAACATTTCGGTTGAGCCAATCGTTTTTTGTTTTTGTTTTTCTCTTGTTTTTTTTGTTTCTTGCCGCTGATTGCCGCAGTTGAATTCATTTTTGCCCAATTAAATACATTACAAATTACAATTGCTAAATACATACAATACAATTCTTAACTCGCCTTGCTATAGAAATATGGCAAAGCTATAGCTACTTCTCATCAACATGATCAACAGTTATCATAATCATCATCATCATCGTTATTATTATCATCGCTATTATCGTTATCATTGTAGTATTATGGATTAATTTCAATTATCAAATATTCATGATTAAGTTTAGATGATTCTTGTGTCCATTGTGTACGTGTTTGTTTTGGTATTTTGTGCCTTGTTAAAGGATGTGTTTTTGTTTGTTATCCTGCTGTCTGTTGTTGTATTGCTCAATTTGAAAGAAACATGGTTACGAAATAAAATAAAATATCCTAAGAAGCCTGCAAGTGACCGGTTTTCTTCAGGTTTCAGTTGCTGTTTGTTGTTGTTGTTGTAGCTGTTGTTTGATGGTGGTTTGTTGTTGTTGGTTGTTCAGACTTTTTATCGTGTATCGGTGATATTGTTTTTGCTGCCGAATATCTTCACCAACTGTGACTCGTAGTCATCAATGTTGCGCTTCATAATATCCATGCAGGGACCCAGCAAACGCTCAAATGCCTTTACATCCAGGACTAAATTGGGGCGAAAGATTATACAATTAGTTTTATTTATGGAATAATTTAAAATATTGAAAACACATAGTGCATGCTGGTAGATGGAGAGGGATTTCTGGGAGTGGGTTTTAGTAATTCTTAATTAAAACCAGGTTAATTCACAGCATTCTTCTTCATTCTTGATTTATAACCACAGGCCCCTCTATATAATTTCTACCTTCTCTTACCGATCCAATTAAACCCTGGATGCCTGTGTCAGCTTCAGACATTCTTTGTGCTCTGTGAGTGTTTTTTTTTTGGGGTAATAAGGTGCGGGATTCCCCCTTGCCACATATGCTTGATGGCGTGTGTGTTTGTGTCGGAATAAAACCAAGTTATAAATCCACTTGCCTTTTTTTTTTTACTTTTAAATGATAAATTTTAAAATGATTTTTTTTTTTGGAAAACCGAAACAGTTGTCGTTACATTTGAGATTTTCACAGCGAGACCTACTAAAATATGGCTTTATCAGGAGACTTGTTCACAAATTCGTATTACGACGGGCCATGTCAGTGTACATTTGCTCATAGATCACCACATTGCGCTTGAGAATATCGGTGAGGTAGCCCAGGATGCGTTCAAAGGCTTCGGTGTCTAGGACTGGACGGAGTTTTGAGTTTAATTAATTTATAACTACAAAATCTAAAGAGGCCCATTTAATAAACTTATATTTTAGCTGAGTTTATCACCTGTTATTATTATAAATAAGAAAGGAAGCTTAACTTGATATACTTGATATAAACCAAGGAGATTTAAGATATAATCAATATTTTTATGACAATTTTTAGGGGTAAATCAAAGTTTTGTAAATTTCATAACTAAGCCAAAAATTCATTAATTTCAATTTGGAAAGCTTTTCTGTGCTAGTTTTTTCAAGGTTAATTAGTCTGCATATTAAATTTACAAATTTAGGAAATTGAAATTTTGATGAATTTTTTGAAATTTTAATGATGTAACCCCTTATCAAATTTTGAAAAAATTAAAAAAAAATTTTTTTTTTCCCAACATGGCTAGAAAGACTCGCCTGTCAATGCTGATCAAGAATATATATGATTTATAGGGTCGGAAATGACTCCTTTAATGAGTTTTAAGCTTTTGACTAAAAATATAATACCCAAGGGTATACAAATTTATAGATTTAATAATAGTAAAAACTTTAAAAAACTAACTCAAACAGAATTATAACATAGAAGGAAAAATCTTCTTAAAATAAAGTTAATTTTAAATGATATTTCAGAGTTTCTTACTGAAATTAAGACAATGAAAAAAACTATTTTATCATCGTAAACATCTTGATAGACACCTCACCATAAATTTTTAAATCAAACAGTGATTCCTCTCAGCCAAAACAGGTCTTTAAAATGGGCTTAAACTACTACCAACTACTACAAGGACTATCAACTACTACAACTACTGCCAAGTCTAACTAATTTAGTTGCAAATTGTCAAAGTATTCGCGCAGATCCTGTTCCAGATAGCGATAATCGCTTATGCTGCGCTGTATGCCCCCACTGCACTTTCCCATGAGGCGTTCAAAGCACACAACGTCCAGGACTACGGATAAGGATGTAGATACAGATACACACACAGGACAATACGACACAACACAACACATCACACACACAACACATACGTGTGTACGAGGGACAAAGAACAAATAAACAAAAGCATTAGGGATTAGGCCAAGCGGGAGTATGGTGTTGGTGGGCAGCAGCTGAGAGCTGGCAGGGATCGGCTGAAATGCTTTCCGTGTAGCCATTCCGCGCCAGACTCCCATCAATCCTGGCAGGATACTTACATGCTAGCTTGACGATGCCACCCGTGGCATAGACGGAGGCGGCCCTTGGCCGATGTGTCACCAGCGCCAGTTCGCCAAAGTACTGGCCCTTGCCCAGCTGAGAGATCTCCACCTCGGCATCGTCCTGGTCCATGCGCACGGAAACTGTGCCTTCCTCGATGAAGTACATGCCATCGGCGGCATCACCTGGGGGAAATGAAAGAAAAATCAAAGCTTTTTAGTGATTAACTCCAAAGGGAATAAAGGAAAACGTTCCTTAAAACAAGGAACCTTAAAGGAAGGTCAGTTGTTTATGATGTTTTCGGGTATATATTTTAGGGTTTTAGGATTTTCTTAGATTTTTAGTTTAATTTCAGTTTTAAAAAAGCTATATTTTTGCTTTATTGAAGCTTTCTTGTATCTACTTACCCTGCTTGATGATGCGCTCGCCATTTTCGTAGCTCTTTGAAACCAAAGCATCCGCCAGATTCATGCGTTCGTAGTTCTGTAAGGCAAAAGGAGTTCGTTATATACACATATATAGTAAATATCGATTTAAGGCAGAGACGAGGGCAGTAAGAAAACACCCACCTGCAAGGCCTTCAGCATGGGCACACTGTTCAACAGCTCCTCGTACATTTTCCGCTTCCTGAAGGCCGACTTCAACAGGATGCGGCGGAAGGTTTGGCGATCCATGGCCCAAAGTAGACCACTCGTTTCCGCCTGTACGGTGGCCGCTCTACATAGTCAAATATATAGAGATATTTAAATTGGTTTTTAGACAGTGTCTAAATATATATAGACCGATTAGCACGTTGTAATTGTGGCGCAGACAGCGCGGAAAATTTGGCATAATGAAACGATCAAATATACGAGAGAGAATTACCACATACCTGGGCATGTTGTACAGCAGCGCTAATTCGCCAAAGAGTCCGGTATGAGTGTAGGTGTTAATGTGGTTGTCATCGATATAGACTTTGTAGATGCCTCTGCGGGAGAAAGAGAGATGAGAGCCAGAAAAAAACCATTTTAATTGAATGCAATTTATAATTTATGCGGTGCAATGCGTGGCGCTCATCAATATGTAAATGCCTATTAATTGCCATATCAAATACAAATGCCAATTGAAACACCCATTAATTAAGCCTCGCACATAAATGAATGAGGCACGAGGCAAGCAGTTTTGCCAGAGTGATGAAGCGGCAATAATTCTTTGCTTTCACTCGAGAGAAATCGGGAAAATATATGGCATTAAGCTGTCAAAGGTTCTTTACAGTTTTCTTTGATTTTAAATGTATGAAAGATATTGGGCGATTACTTACAAAAAGACAAAATTTAATTAAATGACTGTTTAAGAAAGGAAAAGTCTCTGAAAAAGTCTCTTTATCAGCTAAATTAAAAATACTTTTAATATAAATTTTTATCTCCATAAAAAGCAAGACAGTTGCCCAAACAAATAATCATTTTCTGGACTAATTTACTTCTTAAAAAAATATCTAAAAAAATCAACCTATTATGAGCTTTAAAAATATATATTCCTAAGCTCTTTATCCTCTTTTTTTTTCTTATTTAATAAGCTTAGCATAATTTCCCTTCCTCATGTAGGAAAAAAAGTCCCCTAACAATCCATGCTAATTTATTACGAAATCAAGAAAAGTTCCCTCAACACAGACTTAGCTTTTGGCCTCCTCCAAAGATGTGCATTATTCATCAAGTTTGATTGGAAATTTGTTTTGTTTTACTTACGATTCAATAACATAAAAGTTATCGCCATCGTCACCCTGGCGGATAATGTAGTCCAATGGCTGAACCTTTCGCTCGAACATGGCATCCAGGACCTGGTTCATCTGCGAAAACAAATCGATTACAAAAGGGATGAATGGATTTCGGGGAGAGTGGTGGTAGAAGTGGGAGTGAGAAGCAGCCAGGAGGGGTAATCCCACACCGAAAAAGGAAAGTAAACCGCAGGCAAACACTTATTCGGGTTAAGCGCTGATGCGTGTGTGGTGCCCCAGCTCCAGCACCTACTCCTGCTACTGTTCCTACTTCCACTACTCCATCCTGTACTTATGATTTATGTGGCATGGGATTTAAGCTTACCTGCTCCTTGTCGAGGGATCGGAAGAGGAGTACATTCTTTACCGACTCCACCAGTCGAGCCCGCTGGTCATCTGTCTTGGGGAACACGGCAGTGGCACCATCATCATCGTCATCCGCCTCCGGATCGTAGGCCTCGGCGAAAACTGATTTGCGGCGTGTGCCCTGCATCACGGGCGGTTCGGCTGTGGGGCAAAACCAAGGGAAACCATAAATCAGGCGCCAGAGTACAGGGATTTCTCAATAAGTAAGCTTAGGTCTGGCTGGGTTGGACATTGCCAAAGCTAAACAAAGTTCAGTATTATCATCATTGGGTTTGGTTTCCCAAAAAATACCTCCCTCCCAGCTCTCGCTTTTGGAATGGAATTTGCTGCTCTGGCTCAACATCTCCTGCTGGGCCGCAATTGCAATTTCAGATGAAACTACAGAGCAGCGCAGCAACAGCTCACATATCACATACGGAATAATCTCATGGAATTCGTTTCCAAGTACGGCCAACTCTCTGTGTGACAAGCATGTACACAAATTTTTCACTCAGCTATTGAGTTCTAGAACACTGTACCAAAAACTAGCAAGAAATATGAGCTTAAAGATGTGTGAAAAAGTTTATAAAATGCTTTGTTTTATATATCCAACATCTGTGAACTTTAAAACAGATTTTTCTAGGAGAATTGCTTTATAAAAATATAATTTAAGATTAAAGTTTTTGAGAACATTATTTATTTATTATGTATGACTTTCTTCCAGTGTCTCTCCTGCCCTGAGAGCATCTCACAGATCCATCTCTTAGATTGTCGTTTCCGACAATTAGAAGTGCATAAATGCCACAGATTTCCATACACGAATATTTGTTCAACAATCAGAGCAGACACACTCTGAGAACATATGTATTGCATGTAATTCCGCTTCCTGTTCTTCGCCCCCCGTAAATATTTAAATTATTTTCCCCCGCGGTTGCTTCTCCTATTTCGTCAATATTTAAATGTTTGCTTGTTGATTCGGTTTCACATGACCACCAAAATCAATTGCTGTGATTATATATTCAGACCGAAAAACACACAACACCTTAAGTGAGCATGTTTTATGTTCTCTGTTTTGTTTTGTTTTTTTGGTCAACGAAATTCCAGTGTTTCGCTTGAGCTTACCGGCCAATAAATTACCAGACACCTGAGTGGACATTTTCAATTGCAGCAGGCAGCAGCAGCAGTTGAGGCAATTATTTTTTTTGGTGCGTGTGTGTTTCCGAATTTAGTTACGATTTCGAATCGGTTGCAACGACAGCAGCCCGTGAAACCAGTTTAGGCATGAACACGTTTTAAAAACACAACTAGAAACAAAAATAAATATATGTGGTGATATTTTGACGGGTGTAACGAGTGTTCATTCGAGTGTATGTATGTATATGTAACTCAAGGTGAGTGCTGTTGTTGTAGACACAAAATAATCCAGCACAGAAACACCGAGCTTAGCTTTCCCGTCACACGCTGCGTATGCGTAATAAATATTTATGCACTCGAATGTTTGGCGAAGCCTTCAGCAAAGTCAGTCGAGAATCGAGATTGTGTTTATATACGCGTTCTAAGTGTATATATATTTTTATAGGTATATGTAGGTTTGAGATTCGATTTTTCTACTTTTCGCACTCGCAGTCGCTGTGGCAGTCGTGTCAAGTTGCCCGTTAAAGAGTGTCAACCTAATGATGCAATTACAGCCACAGACAGCAAGGCACGCACTGTGGATTTTCTCTGGATTTTCCCTGCAATTTCCACCCCGACACACCAATGGCAGAGTGCACACGTCTTTATTATGTTTTTTTCCAAGTATTTAACTATATATATATTATATATTGTATTGTGAGCCTTCTGTTTGCATTGTGTGAAGAGCAGGAGCAGAAACAGCGACCGTGACGGGGGGCGCCCACGTCCACAATCTTGGACAGAAATCGCCTGTGAGCTGTGTGCTCTCTGCTCTGATTTTTATTGCAATGAGGCAATGGTCAGTGTTTGGTGAGATTTTTGATTTACAGCCTCTGGCGTTTTGGGATTCCAGCAGATTTTAGATTTTAGATTTCCATCAATCAGACAGATTTCATGATCTTAATTTATGCAGTCTGGAAAAATGAGGGAAATGTAACTTGTCTGGACTTACATCAAATTATTTAGACAGAAACATCTTGTTTGTATTGGTATTTTGAGGTTTTCTGACAAAAACAAGTGAAAAACATGAACTATATAATTTTTTATTTGGACTTTGGGCTTGGTTTTGGACTAATATATAGTTTTTACAGGAAGAACTAGTTAATTTTCTTGTATTTTTATATTTTTATAAATTTTGTTGAGATTAAAAACTATGTGTAAATGTTTCCCAAAATTATTTAATTTGAAATCAAATTTAATTTAATTAAAAATAGATAAAATATGCTTCCTCGTTGACTAATATATTGTTCAAGTTCAGTAACCGAAACTTTAAATATAATTTTACTAATTAAAGAGGCAAAAGTGTTTCAATTAAAAGAAAAGTAATTCAAGATAAATGCTTAAAACTTTACCCAAAAAATCACCATAAATTACTCAATATTTAAAAGAAATTTAAACTGTCAAAGATTTAATGTTTGTTAACCAAAACTTTGGATATCGCTTGGCAACGGATGCACTCAAAGTATTTCAATTAACTAAGTTGCTTGCTTTTGAAACACACCAAGCACACACACAGACTGGGACACACACACACACACCCATGCAAATAAGCTGGTGAATTCAATTAGGAATTGCAAATAAAAAGTTGTCTGCATTAATTTCATTAGCAGAGTGAGACAACGGCGACGAGGACGACTGTGAATGCAACTGCGAGTGACGGCAACGAGATCGGGAGATACTATTAAATGGAACGACAACTTCTGGCATTGTCGATGTCAGCACGAGTGACTGACTGACTGACTAACTGAATGGATGGAAGGATAGATGGATAGATAGATGGATGGATGGATGGGTGGACAACTGGCTAACAAACTGGCTGAAAGACGCGTTTGATATGTGCGTGTTGTCGTGGTGACGTCCTCCGAGCGACTGAAAGTGCCAAATGGTTTCAATGCCGCAGGAGGCGCAGCATCCAGTCTGTTCCCCTTCCTCATCATCATTATCATCATCATCATGGGCATCCGCTGGAGTCGCTGTGATGACAGGCAAACGTCAAACCAAGGCGGAAATAGTGCCTGTAAGTAGGCAGCACAACACACGCCACTCAAGCGGTCCAGTGGTTGTCGGCTGTCTATTTATATGGATCCCGACTATGTGTGTGTATGTTTACGAGCTGTCTGTCGCTTTGTTGGCCCATACACTGAACACAAAATGGCATCTATACAATTTTAATTTAGGATATATCTAGACCAGAAGCCAAGAGGCAGGCTAGCAAGGTTTCAAAAGTTATTTAGCTGAACTTTACTAATTTACTCGCCATTTCTTTCACTGTTCTTTTTATAAATAGCAGCCACACTTTGCTTTGTCTTGATTAACATGAGCATTCCCTCAGCTTTTCCCCATCAGCATTCATATACACATTATTATTAAGCGCAACAGGAGGATGGCTGTTGTGCATGGGAAGCGAGAGAGACAGCAGCTGCTGTAGTTGCTGCTGGAAGCTGAAGCGACTGGCATTTCCGTTCAGGTTTACCAGCAACCGGGCCTAGAGTCCTGCCACAAACGCCGCTGGCATGTCAATAATGTTGAAATGTAACCTCCCCCCAACACACCCCAACTTCCCCCCCTCTCTGTAGAATTTTCCACAAAGCCTGGCACCAAACCGGGGCGTGTCATGCGCCTTGTGTGCCCGATGAAGCGGACGCTTGGGCTGCTGAGCTGAGCTACAGAGCTGTTCATCAGCATGCTCCAGTGGACCAGGTCCTGCAAAACATAACCCCACCTCTCTTGTACATGGAAAAGATTAACAAAATATATGGAAAATTGAAAAGAAGAATAGCTTAAACCTAAAGGAAAGTGTTCTCCTAAATGTATATATTTAACGTTCTATATTTTAAAGAAAGTCCTCTTAATATATATTTATTTTTTAATATTTATAACGCCTATATCGTTTTTAATATATTTTAATATTTTTATATAATTATTTTCTGTGTACCTTTTCCCAGTTTCCCCCATTTTGTCCATTGGCTGGACTCTGTGGCCAACATGTTGAGCGTTAAAAAAAAAGAGGTGGTCTGGTGAGAGCATACCTTTGGCCAACACCACCGCCTCCGCAAAGCGCACACCTTATTAAGCCGCAAAGGCCTATGCGGCGTATGCGCGATATTTAATGTCACAGGCTCCTGTTGCCCTGAAGGACTTTAAATGGAAAGCCACAAAACACTTGGAGACTTTAATTAAAATTCCAACAAGGCTTAGAATACAAACTAGAGCTCCTTTAGAGCGTGTGTAACCTTTCAAGACATAATGATTGCATTATTTTTCATTGAATTTTGATATAGGTTTTTCTAGATATTTCCCAAATATATAAAATATTTCTCCATCCCTCTTTATTTAACCCTTAAAGCCTCAATTTAAATAAAAAACTTTCCAGCTGGATTTATATGTAGCCACAAAAATAGACATCAAAGCATAAAAATACAGACATCGATCGATAAAGCGCGAGGCGGTGGTGGGGCGTCCATAGAAAAATGTGGAAAACTGGGCGGGCGCATTGGTCCGGTGGGCGTGACCAGAAGCTATTTGCGTGTCACTTTCGCTCCAGTTGAGTTTGGGGAGCCTGAAGCGATTTCGCTGGCTTCACTGAACAGCAGCAGCCAGCAGCGGCAATTGGCCATCCCAGAGACGAGTTAATAGTGAGACAATGTTCAGGCCAGACAAAACTAGAAAATATATATATGTACCTATATATATATAGTGCAACTTCTTCTGTTGCAGTTAAAACTTTAAAATTTACGAGTTTATCTGACTCGAATACAAATTGCAGTCAGTCTGAAGGCCACAACTGCTAACATACATTGCATTCTTTACTTGGTAACTCATGGAATTGTTCTCGAAATTTATTTGTAAAGAGTTTTGGGATTATTTTTAAACTATTTTACAGTGAAACAGATATTTTACTAGTTAGCTTTTTAATTAAGGGGGGGGGTAAGGTATTTAATTTTTTTTTTTGTAAATTTTTTTTTATTTTTTATTTTTAAAGTTTAACATCTTAAGAATATTGTGTCCAAGTTTTACATTGATCAGAGTGAAATTGACGAAGTTATGCGGAGTTGAACGAAGGTCGGTTGGTGTTCAATGCATGGGAATCACAAAGTTTAAAGCGCTCTCCTGAAAAATTCAATTTTTCAAATCGGTGTAGTACACGATTACAGAAAAACTACTGGACCGATCGATTTGAAATTTGGCACACACATTCTTTAACTAATTCCTCAGGTATTCACGTCGGCCTTTTTTTAATTTTTAATTTTTACATATTTTTAAATTAAGAAATAACGTTTTTTTTTTAGTCAAAAATCGGGTTTTTGACTTTCAAATTTCCTAAAAAATCACAAAAAAACTAAAAAAAAAAAAACGCTTCGTGAATACCTCGGGACACTTATCCTTTAACGAATGAGGTATAATTTTTTTAGATCGGATGATCCTGTGAACTGTTAGGTTGTACACCGCAAAACAACTTTTTTTGGAGGCGACTCGGGAGATTCCCTATAACTTCTCTACCTCTAAATATTTTTCAATACAAAATTTATCAAAAATTATTCAAATGTTGTGTTATTATATGGTATTTAATTCATTAAGCTAACTTTAGCCGTTTCGCCACAATAATTTTTTGAAAAGTTGCCTTTTTTGCACCGAATTAACCTTACCCCCCCCTTAATACAAATTTCTAATCAAAGTTATGAAATATCTTTAGAAAAAATTAACTCAATTGATTTACACAAACTAAACTATTTAAATTTTGAAATCCCCATTTAATATCTAGAAAATTTTCTACTTCATTCTAATAATATTATTTCTAGCTTTTAGCTTTAGCTCAGATTTAATTTAAATTCCCTTTAGAGACACTCTGCCTGGATGAGAGACACAAGTCTGACTGTAAGTGGACGCTGTTGTTCAAACGGCGAAAGGATTGGCAGCTGCATTCATGTTGGTTGAGCTCTCCTAGGGCTGCTGTGTGCACAATTAATAGATTTTTAATGACAGGAGCAGTTTGCCCCAGCAGTTTGCCTTGCCACTTGACATGGCAACCCCATAGCCCGTAACACCCTTACCCCGTACCCATTCCCATTTCCATACTCATCCTTAGTCCTGCCCATCCCGAACCCCTCGAGGGCTGCGTGTTTGATTAACCGGAAGATAAACACGCAAAAGGAAGCTGTGAACAAAAGCCCCCAACATACACACACACACCCAGACAGAGATGACTAAATGCGAAATACGGGGGGTAGTTGAGGGACAGATGGAGCAGAAACAAATTGAACGCGGCCAAAGCTTCATCACCATCATTATTTAATTTGGTATTTTGTATGCTCCTCGTAGTGGAAGCCAAGAGCCAAAGATTTATGGCCATATGCGTGGCCTGAGCTAATTATCTGAACACGTGCCGTAAGCCGAGATACAAACAACGTGGGCTGAGGGCTGGCAAAATCATCAACTTCAAGAGAGAGAAAAGTTTTCAATTTCTGTTGGAGCCAAATAAATCATCATTTCCCTTGTCTTTTCTTATAATCCAGAGCTCTGGCTTATTTTCTTTGATTTATTTCCATGATTTTGGTACTTATTTAAACCAAAATATGTCCCAATTTAGACCTACTTCTTATGGCTAAAGTTACACCACATAATTTAAAATTCTTAACATTAAAACCTCTTCTTTGAAAAACCCTTTTAATACAAATTCTCCTCTTAAAACCAATGCCAATTGAAGGACAAAATTATCTACCAAAAATAATGCATTCCATTTTCCATTTCTGCCGGTCAAATAAATCTTGATTTCCCCCGACTTACTCATAGCCACAGAAAAAAAAAATTGATTCGGTTTGTCGGGGGAATTCGCCAATAGCAGATTTTCTATATATACGACCTGAACTGACATTTGCTGACGTCAGAGAGAAAAACGCAGAGCGAATTGCATGACGGAAATAACGTAAGACTAAAGGAAAAAAGTACGGGAAGGAAAACTAAAAATATCTGACCCAAGAATTTTACAACACGCAGTGGCAAATGTAAAACGAAGAAAAAAATATGATGAAAAGAAGTTGACAGGACATGCCAACAAAAACAAGGGACTAAAGGAACTCCTGAAGTTAATAATACCAACTCCACTCACCATCGGCTTCTTGTGAGTTGACGCTCAGCTGGTCATCGGTGCTCTGCTCCGTGGTGGCCACACTGGGACGCTCGGCCTGCAGCTTGCTGAAGTATTCCACGGCATAGTCGATCACATCCGGAGGCTGTTCCACCAGAAAGGCAATCGAGAACTGCAGCAGGACCTCCTTTAGCTTCTCGGGCACCTGGATCCTTCGACTCGATTCGCTCGACATATTTGTGCTAAAAGAAAATAAAGGAAAAAGTTAAAGAATTTTAAAAGAATTCGAAATTTAAGAAGTTAAGGAGTGCGTATAATATTTTGTATATTAATAACTAATATAAACTCCTTTGAGGTGTACAAATTTGATGAAATATTAATCTTTGATAACTATAACAGGTGGTTTCAAGAGTTATTCCTTTTAAAACCCAATTACTTAAAGCTTTAACCCCTCTGTTTCCCCGAAAAGTATCAGAAATAATTTTCCTCCAATGCTGTGATTTCAATGGAAATGGAAAATGTCAAATCCACAGTCCCTCACCTCCACCATCCTCCCCCCTCCCTTTGCTGAAAAGCAATCCAACACCCGAAAAATGTGTTCAGAGTGCAGCTTAATTCGCTATCCCAGGTGTCAGGGGCAGATGCAATGGCCGAACAGTGGGTTTCGACCCGGTCACCTGCTGGCCATCGGTCAGTTAGTTGGCAATTACCCCCACTACATGCCAGAAACCACCTTCCACCTTCCACCTGCCGCGCGATGTCATTATTGTCGCTGACGTCGTAGTCGTCGTCGTCGTCGTCGCCGCCCATCAGTCAAGTCAACTCAACTCATGATTCAACGTTGCACAATTTGAGATTTTGGTCTGGTTGGGTCGTTCGTCGAAAACGACAGACGTGAGATTCATGTTAAATATTTGCTTTACCCACAAAAGAAACAAAAAAAAAACTAACAAGACGGCTACAAATATAATTTACGAGTAATTCACTTTTCTCTTGGGTTTCTTTATTTTTATAGAAATTGATTTCGGTGGCATTGTCTTTGTCGATTCGCCGTAAAAGGGCTACACGAGGGTCACATCTTATGATGCATTTAAAAACGTGCTTACCAAACACTTTCAGTGAGAATTGATAAAGAATTGTTATTTGTTTGAGACTGATAGAGACATATCTCTCAATGTTGCGGAATAAACAGGTGAGTAATGAAGTGAATAACTTAGTCCTCTGGCTTTCGAGGGTAGAAGAAAAGAAATAACAAGCTCAAAATATGAAAAAATAATAATATACAATTTAAAGTGAATATTTAAAGTGAAAATATAGAAATTACTCTGTTTATTTGTAATTTTTCCTATTAAAAACATATTTAAATGCATTTTGTGTAGCCTTTTTTCTATTTAACTGTTGCAAATATTGAAAATATTACACTCTTTCTTTTGTTTTCTTTGAAATTTACTTTTTGAACACTTCTTTTTAACATTGATAGTTTAAACTAATTTCAAATATTTAAGTTTCATATTTCACACATTTCACAATGTTAAAACTAAAAATACAAATAACAAATAAATATATTGGCCATTTTAATCGAAAAATAAAAACAAAGCAAGGGTTTGTTTTTATTTTCGATTTTTATTTTTTGTTTTGTTTATTTATTCGGATTGAAAAAATTGAATTTTTGAGCGCTAAAATCATAGATTGGGTATCCTTGGTTCATATAGCCAGATTGTCCAGGATCAGGGCAAGGATTTGTAGTGGATGTTCCACCTTGAGGGGGATTGCCGCCCTGGTGGTGGTGGCCACAATTAGGTGGGCACACGCTCCAATGGTAGCCATACACTCCTCCGCCTGAGGAACCGCCTGAGGAACCGCCTGAGGAACCGCCTGAGGAACCTCCTGAGGAACCGCCTGAGGAACCTCCTGAGGAACCTCCTGAGGAACCGCCTGAAGAACCGCCTGAGGACCCGCCTGAAGAACCGCCTGAGGAACCGCCTGAAGAACCGCCTGAGGAACCGCCTGAAGAACCGCCTGAGGAACCGCCAGCTGGTGGTGGATTGTATGTAGGTGGATAGTAAGGAGGTGGCGGATAGTATGTAGGTGGTGGATAGTAAGGAGCTGGCGGATAGTATGTAGGTGGTGGATAGTAAGGAGGTGGCGGGTGAGGAGGATTGGGAGCCTGCCACCGTTCTAAGCCACCAGCAGGAGGTGGCGGGCATGGACCATAATGGCAATGGTACTCTCCTGGCCAGTGAGTAGGTGGAGGCGGCGGACAGCCACCATTTCCACCACAATTGGGACCTCCGTCACAGCGACAACCACGGCGACGGCCACACATCTCAGATCACAAACTGAAATATACACAATATTTATTTAGGCAGCACTATCCAATTAATTTTTAGCCGCTGCGACTTGATCTTCGTCCGTCAGCAATCTTATTCCGATTAAATTCTTGAAGCGCAAAGCATATAGCGGAGATAGCGGCGTTATTTCAGTATAAGAGAAGCTGCCGACTTCTAAAGATGAATCAGTTTCAACAGCTTTGGCAACAAAGCAGCGAATATTGCCTTTGTTGTAGGTAAATATTGATATATATGTATATATGATCTTGATATGGTTACCTGCCAAAGTGGTAACGAAAACTCCACAGAACATTGCGGCAAAGACTTAAGAATTTAAAGTGAAGAACTTGGCTCTTTATATAATTTTAAACAACCCATATCTAAGCATTTCCCATATTAAACTGCTCCTTGAAATAAGTAAACATAAAAGAAGAAAAATTTACTCGTGGGCTTGCTTACGTTAAAATTGTTTCTCCATTATCTCTCTTGGCCGAAACCCACAATGTTCTTGTACATTTTTCGCCTAGAGAATCGACAAACAACTTAATTTTTGAGCCTCGGCACATAAATATTTATAAGTTTCCATCAAATATGCGTAATTATGTAAATTGCATATTGAGACAAGGCTTGCCTTTGGGTGGCGTTTCCCCGAACTTCAGCCGCATTTTATTTGCCCTAATTTGAAAATTAATTTTCGACAAAAGGGGGGAAAGGGAACGCAGGATATTGTACTCTCCTGTACTCTCCTTTGTTTTCCTGCCAAACTTTTTCAATTAAGTTCATTAATATTCAACTTGGCCTGCGGCCACCCAAGAGCGGAACAAATAAATATTTGAAACTAATAAAGGTTTCGAGCTCAAATCGCGTTGGCGATGGAAATTTAATCGGAAAGTCTTTCGACATCGAGTCAATATCCAATTGGGCGTTTAAGTGCTTCCACTGATTGCTGCTGCAGCTGTTTTTTTTTTTTTTCTCACTCTAGACATTAGACGGTGCAATTGCAATTAGAGTGGGTCAAGGTGGTTCACTCAACGCACTGCAAAATAAAATAAAACTCATACGGCACGAATTGCAGTTGCACAAACATCTGAGAAACTATAAATAGCCCGACTCAAGTAATGGGAGGCTGAATGAACAGACCGTCCCTGCCACCCTACCCACCCGTTTTTCACCTGTCTGTCAAGGATTTGGGTGCCACAAAAAGAAAATCGTAAAAAAAAGAAAGAGGAGAGAGAGTGAAATAGAAAGCACACAAGAAAGAAAAGTTAAACCATTTTCATTTCCTCACAATTTCCGCAGATGCCGGAGAATGAACATAAAAAATTTACAAAAACAGACACAGACACACCCACTCGACAGTTATAGATGGTATATAGAGGTATATATACATATCTAGCTGGTCGTAAAATATAGTTAAAGTCAGCTGACACGGACTTTAATGCCTGGCGCAGCTAGCACAGCAGCAGCGTTAAGCGAATTTTGACGACTCAAGCCAGTTAAGTGCTCTCGACGAGTAAAGCTGATTAAGTTCCATGAAAAGTGCAAAACCTGATTATTGGAAAGGGATTTCTTGTTGCGAAAGAGTCCTTGCTGCACTCAAGGAAAACTATACTAAATGGAAAACGAAGAGTTATGGGAATCATTTCTAGAGAGAAGTAAAGTTATATTTCCCAGCTTTTGCCATTTTTAGAGCCAGTTTTATATTTCCTTGTTGTATTGAACATAAATCCCTACCTTTTGCTGATTGCATTTTCTGTAAAGCAGACAACTTTATTATTGCTTATAACAGATTGCCATTGAAGGGCGCATTGGTATATATATTTGTACATATATATATTTACTTTGCAATAAAAACACGAGGGAAATTCGCTTTGCTATTTATGAATATATCTCGAATTGCTGGCCGCAGCTGTTTGATGTTGGCATTTCCATTAACATTTTCATTTTATATTCGCGTTTTGCTCTGGCCCTCTTCTCTCATTCCCCAAATGGAAAAATGAAAATTTTCCTAGTGCAATAGCGATTCGGTTTCAGTCTCTATCCAATGGCCAGCAGCATCATCGTCATCATCATCATTATCATCTACATGCAGCGCTTTTATGGGATTAAGGCAAACTAATTTTGCCACCAGAAACACCAGCACCATCATCAGTAGCCACCACCACCCAGTTGGTAAACTGTTGCACCGATCCCCGCCGCCAGAACAGGTCGCTTCGGAGCTGTCGAGGACCATCAAAATGATTACGGCTTGGTTATGCGTGGCAAAGTTAACCATGTGCATATGACTTTCATTTTAATGTCATTTTTACTGCAGCTGCAGGTGGTGGGAAGCCCACCCACTGCACCCACTGCTCCCATTCTGCCCTGGGGAATTTGTGGGCGTTCTTGGGTTGGAAATTACCCAGTGGATACCTGACCTAGCAGTTGCTCCTTTGCCAAATTAAGTTCTGCGCTTCCAGCGAAATCGAGTTGAGCTTTAAAATTGCATTTACATTTCGAATCAGTTTTTGTATATTTTTTGCTTTCAATTTATAATTAATTGGTTGGATTTATTCAATTGTTTTTCCACTTCCAAACCAATTCAGAGTATTATAATAGAAAGTTTTCAACAAAGCAAAGTATTTTTATATTTAATATGGGTTTCTATTGGTTAATAACTATTTTGGGGGCTATAAAATAGCAATATATTTTCTTTGATAAATAAAAAACGTCATTTTTCAGTTACTTTTATCTTTTATACTCTTTAAAAAGGTTTTAAAAATAGGAACCTTATGATCACATTCTGAACTAATATCAAATTGATAGCAATCTTAATTGAAAATAAAAACCAAACCTTTGCTTTTTTATTTATTCAGTTTGAATTACTATACATTTAAGGAAAACTTAAGGAACACAGAACGATGAATAAGTTAGACAGAGTTATTACTCTCTTTAGAAAGAGTTATTTTGGAGCGTTAAGATCAATAATTGGGTATCCTCCGGGCTTTTGGTTACCAGTTTGTCCAGGATCAGGACAAGGATTTGTAGTGTTTGTTCCACCTTGAGGCGGATTGCCGCTCTGGTGGTGGTGGTGGCTGCAATTAGGTGGACACACGCTCCAATGATAGCCATACCCTCCTCCGCCTGAGCTGCCGCCAGCTGGTGGCGGATAGTATGGTGGCGGTGGTGCAGGATGCCACCAATTTACGCCACCAGCAGGAGGTGGCTGGGGATGACATGGGCCATGATGGCAATGGTGAGGAGGCGGAGGCGGCGGACACCCACCATGTCCATGCCCGTGTCCATGTCCGTGTCCGCCATGACCATGGCCATGATGACCTCCGCCACAGCGTTTACCACGACGATCACCACACATCTCAGACCACAAACTGAAATATACACAATATGTATATATATATTTTTAGGAAGCACTTTCCAATCACTTTCTCGGCGCTGCGACTTGATCTTCACTCGCCAGCAATCTTATTCCGATTAAATTCTTGAAGCGCAGAGCATATAGCGGCGATAGCGGGCATTGTTTCAGTATAAGAGAAGCTGCCGACTTCTAAAGATGAGTCAGTTTCAACACAGCTTCGGCAACAAAGCAGCGAATATTGCCTTTGTTTTGGGTAAATATTGATATATATATATGATCTTGATATGGTTATCTGCCAAAATGGTGACGAAAACTCCACAGAACTTTGCGGCAAAGAGTTAAGAATTTAAGGTGAAGAACTTGGCTCTTAATATAATTATTAAAAATAATTTTTAAAAATCAGTTTTCCCTCTTTGTAATATATTTTCTTTAATGAATAGGAAGCTTTTGGGCTAGTAATTTTTCAGTAACTTTAATCTTCAATACTCCTTAAAAACTAATTTATTTCTGCCCTCTTTCAAGCACTTCATCAATTGATTTAAAAGCTTAAAAACTCTCTTTTTTCTATCTTCTCCTTATATCAATATTTTAAGCTGACCCTTTTAAATCCCATTTACCTGAAAGTAACATTCTCTATCCTTCATATCAAATAACAAAACAGCTCCACACAAATCCCTCCAAGAGATGCTAGCAAACAACCTTGAGGATTTCTGGAAGCACCCTTCAGGCCAGATGACACAAAACTCCAACTGGTGTGGTTCCCGTGTTGTTTGCCAACCTGTTTCTCGGGATCCTTTCGTTGGAATTCTGTGTCAGTTGTGCCTATCATCAAATTACGTCAACAATCCAGAAATGGGACACCTGTGCGTGGGTTTTGGGTTCTCTCTCGCTCCCAATGACTTCATTAAGGAACGGCCAGCCACGACTATATGTGTGTTGGCTTAATTAGCCCAACTAAAACCAAACTACATGGGACACATCTCTTGTTTGATGGTCAGCAGTTCGTGTATTCAACAGTTGGTAGAGAGACCTCAGACAAAGAAGTACTCGAGGCGGCCTAATTATTATGCATGTCCCATGACCATATACGTATATCCGAGGTCTGTCAGTGCCATTGACAGGGGCCAGGCCCCAAGTGACCTCCGCACCCTCGACTATTGAATCTGAAATTGGGTTAAGTGTTAATGGCAGAAGCGGCAGCACCTCTGCTTTTTTGGTTTTCCCAAGAAAAAGCACACACATTTTCACCCCAGCAAGGCCAGTTCTAAAGGCTCAAGGCTCAAGTGTAGAGTGTCATTGGCTCTCGATTTATGTCACAAATTCGTATGCAAAGTGTTCATTCCGAAGGAACAATAACCATAGCCTCAATTATGAGTTTTAGAGAATACCTCTGCAATTAGGAAATGCAATGAAATTGAGATGGCATAAGAAGAAAGGCTTTGAATTGTGAAATTGTGTTAAATGCTGCAACAGCATGCTAAAAAGTTGCACAAAATAGAATTTCACTTAACAATGTTCTGGTTGAAAATGAATTTTAATTGGGTTTTAGAAGACTTGAATTTAATTGAGCTTTTGGCAGAGAGAAATTTATATTTACTAAGATATAAACGATAGCTTAGCTTGACTTTAAAAGTCTTTATCTTAGGTATTCCATAAAGAGACGGAAATTAAATTCCATAAGACTAAAGTAAGGCTTATTTCCTTTAATGTTACCTAACTTTTAACATATCTTTATAGACTTCCCTCACCTGGTCTTTGATTTCAGCTTAGATTTCACCTGCTCTTTACAAAACCCTCCTTATACTTGGCACTTTTCCGGCTTCATGTTCAACGAAAATTGTACAGCTTCCCTCGGAAAACTTTTATAGCCCAACTTTGTGGCAATATTTCTCATTTAACCAAAAAGAGAACAAATTAAATTAAAATAACCTTTCACGAAGCAAACATTTGTTTTATAACCGGCCCTAATGTTACCTTGAAATTATTATAATTTTTTTTTTTGGTGTGAGGATACTTTATCTCTCAAGCCCCGATTCAAATTTTCTGCTATCTTCAGGTTTTCTTTTTGGGGGGGAAAATGTTTTCTCTTCCGGTCAATGCGTCAAAGTGGCAGCTCGAGATGGGGCGAGAGAAAATGCAAAAAAAAAAAGAAAATGTTGAAAAGGAAAAGGAACCGGCAAGCAGCAGAGCACTTAATTTTCGTTGACATTTGCGCCCTTAGCGGGGGGTTAGGGCTATGCCCATATGAATACGTATATATACACCACATATATATACTATACAGTGTGCCAGCTAAGTATTTTGACAACAAAATATCGCATCCACATCAAAGCAATATCCAGGCATACTTCAGGGCGCCGCCGGCACTTGAGCTCAAAATGCGCCGCATGACGAGAGGTTCAGTGGGAGACTTTTGGGTCGTTTGCTACTCTAAATGTCAGGACTCTCTCCACACATACACATATTACACAAATATACTTCTATATATGTATATACATATATAGAAGCCGGCCGAGAAGAAGACGAAAAATTCCCGCGAGTATTTGACGCAAATTTCACTTCGTCACGCAACTTTAATGGCGAATTTCTTATTTGTTTCTGCCACTGGCCTTCCACCTGTCCCCCACTTCCACCTCGGGGTTCTAGATCCGGTGTGTGTGAGCTGTCCCTTACTGTGACGCTAAAGTGAAAAGGTTATCAGCTTGAAAATGTTTGTCAAAATACGACGCCTGGGTATTGATTTATTAACGCTCAGCAGAACACATGTCGTATGCGTAATGAGAGAGGCTCACTAAACGGCTGGGAAATGCGGGGAAAAGCGTGGAGGGGGGTGGAAGGAGGGATGGAGGAGCAGGAAAGGAAAGCCAAGGGATGCGGTCTGCTGACTCACGCATTTCACATGCCTTTTGTTACACGAAATAAATTTTACACTGTGCTTATTATCAAAAAAATTAGCTAAAAAATTAAGTTTAAATTTATTAAAATATTTTAAAATTAAATATGCACATAAACTTTAGCAGTTTTTCCATGTTTTCAATTGGAACGAATATTTTAAAGATGATTTTTTTATGTATACTTAAGAAAATTGTAATAATGCGGTAGTTAGAGCATAAAAAACATAGCCTACTTATTGGCATTATAGTTTTTTAAGGAGATAAATAAAGGAAAATGGTATTAAATCATCCTAAAAAATTAAATGAAGTCTAATGTTTTTAATTCATGAATATTTATGAGTTTGTATAGCTTTTAAGGTGCCAGAAATATTTTTTAAACCAAAATAAAATCTAAATTTAATTTCTTTCAATGCATTATTACACAGCTTAGTGGTATATTTTTTTCGGTGCCTGTACATATGGGTTTACACAATAGGAATGGAACGCTTAAAGCTGTCAAAAGGAATTTTACAGCCCACGCGACGCGAAAGAAGAAAATTCACCAGGGCATACACACGATTTCATATCGAAGGGTATATGTATATGCACGTACATACGGGACCTTATTCAATTTGAAACCGGAATGAGAGGGGTTATATATGTATATGGTGGCAGTGAGACAACGACTTTTCAGTTAACCTTTGGCATCTCCCTTCCTCAATCCATTCCAATCTCTCTCTCAGCTTGTCTCTGTCTCGGGTCTTATCCCCCTGGCCGCAATTGTTCTGGGTTCGTCGTCGGTCTAGAGCCGATTCAATTATTTTTTAATCTATTGGATTTCGAAGACGCCCTCGTGCAAGATGCACAAATCGCTAAGCAATATTCTGAAATATGTCTGGCAGGCGAAAATTCGCACAAGTTCAATGGAATCTTCAAGTCTGTCAAAGTCTTGAGACATCCTAGGCATATCTTATCTCGACTAGACTTTAAAGACCGCCACAAAACATTAACGAGTAGCTTGAATCCAAATTAAGCTCCCTGGGGAATGGCTCTAAACTCTGTCAAGGACCTGTCATCTCATCTCGGCCAATGGCTATAAATAGTCAAATTCCTTAGAACGCCCACGCAGGATTTTAAGACAAGACAAGAAACTCCTTCCGTCGCATCCTCCCTGCGATTATGGCCAGAATGATAAACTGCTGGATGGATGCTTAAATTGATGTCCATTAGCGTTAAATTAGTGAGCAATTATGTTGCTCGCTGTTCGCAGAGGCGCCCAGCAGATATACAGATACAGATGCTTTGGCTGCAGACGCAGATACACAGATACAGATACTTTAAAGGTGCCAGGCAGCAGCAGCAGCAGCAGCAGCAGAGAGCAACAGCAGCTACACGCGGATACATAAAATCCAATGGCTATGGTACAGCGGCAGCAGGTACAGGTACAGTGAGCTTAGACTTCGAGGTACTTTATTAAAGAATTTTAAATTAGGAAAATATTTTAAAAGCTTTTAAAGGCTTGTCCTTTGGACTCTTGTTCTCTTCTTTAAGATTTTCTAAGATAAGTTTTCAAAGGGAAATTTTTAAGATTTTATGCATCTTTTAAGAGTTCTACCTCCATCTTTATCCCGAGTATCTACTGTCTGCTTCCTGTACAGCTTCAATGTGTGAGTAAACGGATGTGCTTGTATCTGTATCTGTATCCACCCCAGCAAAAGCGATTATGTGTTGTAACAAAACGTTTATCTACATTTGTTGCTGCCCCCATAAAAACGTTTCTATTCGCCGCGTTGTTGCCTGTCGTTTTCTCAGTTTAATTTTAAACACGATTCTTCCTTCCCCTGGAATACACCTCACCCCTGGTACCATCTCCTTGGCCATGTCCCAATACCAAAAAATTTGTTGCGCGTGGCAGTTTTAAACGGCGCGTGCTCAAAGCAAACAAGCCAGGGAAAAACACAACAAAAAAATATAATAATAAAGAGAGCAATAAGCTGAAAAAAAAACAAAGAAAGAACGCCATTGTCGAGTGCCCCGAATATGAGATACCCGGCACTCAAGGCTCTATTACAAAACATTAAACAAAGACTCAAATACAGCTTAGAAAGCTAAGCCAAAGAAAAAGTTATTTAAATTAAATAAACTTAGAAATTTAATAAGAAAATATTTAAATATACAAATTTATTTATTAATGTGTAAAGTGTATTACCTTCTAAAAACCC